AGGGAGCCAAAGCGCAAGGGTACGGAGACGAGATGCTTTGTCAGCAAAGGTTTCGTCTAAAGCGCCCTAGCAGGTCCTTACCAGCAGCGCTCGCGGCGCTGTCTGCTCTTCAACTGGTTACCTTCTCGCCGCCGAATTCTGGCCACCAACATTAGAAATTTAGCAGAGACGCAGAGCCGGAACGTATACTTTGATAACGTCAGCAGCAATGAGACTCGTCAAGAAGCGAAAATCAAATGAGCAAAAATGGGGCCATTTTTCGTATTCTAGACTATTTTTCCTGGTTACTTCCCCTTTGGTCTGCGTCGTGATCACCTGCGTCTTAATCACCTCTACCTAGATCTCTAGTGAGCTTCCTTGTTGTCGTAAACTGCACCCTTAACGGTGGTTTTGGCGTTTGTGATATCTTCAAAGACTTCATCTAGCGTTCAAAACGATGATGATATGTGGTGGGCGCCAGCCCCAGATCTGGGTCACTCACTCTGTAGTGCGAGTAGAAGTTTATGAACGATTTTCTTCGCAATCTTGACGTGGTAAACACAGATGGTTTAAATCTTCGAGTCATTGAAGATTCCACGGTAATATAAGGTCTACTAAAGCCTGAAATGGCTAAGAAGTCCACATTGCACATCAATTCAATCCAATTCAATTGCACAACACCCCAGTGCATCACAAAATAAGCCGAGGCGTGATAAAACTCCACAATCTTGAAAGGCTAGAAAATGAATCAGGTGCTGTCATCGTTCATAGCCAGTCTGCTGTGGAAGTAGAGCATGGTTCATAAATTTTCTACTAATGCACAGCGTAAGGAGTTCTGATCTGGGAGGAATTATATCCGGATTGGAGACTTATCGTTTCTGCGCTATGCTCAACTAGCCCTATTGGTTGTCCGGAAATTAATGCGGGTTTTTGACCTCCGTCTTCAAAGCAATATATCTCAGCTCAAACTCAACATTTTCAGTAATTCAAAAAGTGTTGGAAACTACTCATTTTTCTTAACAAGAAGCATGCTGAATTAATAACGAACTTGAGATATAGGGGGGTACAAGAATTGAAATATAGGAACCGTAGAAGCGCGGATATCGGCGAAGGTCATTCCACCATGTGTCTGTTTTCAAATCTTTTTCTGCCCAAGAAGCTGTCGAGATGGCTGAAAACAGGAGGTTGGTGAGGGTGAGATCCTGCGAATGCACTGTAAGAAGCAAAGCTGGATAGGTTGATTTATCCCTTTCTTACGAAGACCTTTGTGCGACATGTGGCTGGGCGTCAACATGGAGAACAGTTCTTTTCCTTCTTCTGGTTAGAGGCCTTGCTCTTTACGGAGCATTCACGTCGATGTTATGGACAGACATTGGTGCTCTACCAAAATCACCTGGGTTCAGAAAGCTGCGATGCATCATTACTCCGGAAGGCCACGAAACCATCAGCATGGTCCTCACCTTGTAGAAATTCTACTTTGGAAAAAGTTTTTGATGTTCGTAGTTGTTTAGATTTTTGGAAAATTGCTCTATTCTGTAGCAAAGAATCCTATTTCCGTCGAGGATGACGAAATGTTCCAAGTCGGATATTTTTGTTGAGTAAAAAGAGTTGTGACAA